TTCATAATTTGATAGAAGTGTAGAACTCGATAATTCCGGTTTCATTATGTCAAGCTGAATGTCAAAAATGTAGCCACTCAGATGGTGTAGTGGTTAAGGTAGCTTGACAGCGATACTGAAGCGCCCGGGATCGAATCCCGGAGAAGGCATGGTTGTAACTGTCCGTCCCTTCATAGGAGGCAATGGTGGCTCACCTATTAGGTGCCTCCATAATAAAGAGACCACCACAACTGGCCTTAGTATAGATTAATGGACTCCTGAGTTACACTGTAACTGTTCACAATCTGCCATTGGAAAAACAAAATATCAAAAGTGTACAATTGGAAATTTACGTGTATTTTTTTTTTTTTTTTTTTTTTTTCCTTCTGGATAAATCAAGTTTTTGATTACTTGAATTATTTTTCTGTTCCGTGTGGTTTCTGTTGATCGAAGTTCAAGTTCTTCTGATAATTATTTTTAAAGTTTTAACTATGTTTGCTATTATTCGAAGAAGTCCAGCAAATGAGGAAGAAAAATCGCACACAGATAAGATCAAAATCAAGTAGCTAGCAAACAGGCATATTTATTTACATTAATTTCAATACTGCCTGAAAAATGAAAGTTCACTCTGAAAAAGGCTAGTCTTGTCTTTTGTGTTTGTAATTATTCAGACCAAGGCTAACTAATTAATTTGAGATAGAAACCTGTTTATTTAAATCTTTATGTATTCAAACTGATTAAATCTTATATTACATGAATTCAAATAATCAGAAAACATATGAAAATGCACTTCATTTAGTTAAAAATATCCTTTCATCACTTTTATTCAACTTCAATGTATAAGCTATAACTGTTCAATTGCAATTTCTTTTTGTTGAATATGCTTCTCTTTTACAAGCTTCATGAAGGCCAGAGTATAGAATGTGAATATAACAGGCTAAAACATGCATACATGAAAATATTTAATTCAGCCTAAAGTAACATTCTGATATGGGTGAGGTAAAATTTTCACACTGAAGTAAAGTGAATTAAAATGATTTTTAGTGTTTTCATGCATGGATATAAAAAAATGCCTGTACAGAATTTTAGCTGGGTAGTATCACAGCAAAGCTTTTCTAGACAAGACAACTGTAATATGTTATGAACTAAAGAAAAAAAAAAAAAAAAAAAAAGAACTAAGAATCTCAGATCTCATAATAATATGATCTGCAATGCGAGTGACTCATGACATTATCTGTATAACAAAATTACATACGTTTTCTAAGAAATTTCTTGTAAGAAGCACGAAAACTTGAGGATAGCTATGAGACTTATAATCAATTTTTAGTTGTTAGACAGTACACAAATATTAAAGAAGGGAAACTTTAATTAGGAAAAAAGTGATGAAAAATTTTCCATATAGAGTAGAATATGAAAAAACAGAAATCTTTATGAGAGTAAAATACAGACATCACTCATTATAATCACCACTACAAAAGTCCCAAATGATTTCCCATTTTGGCTATGTTCATTTTATAGGTTATATAATGATCAATCAGAATCATTAATACCAATACAGCATCTAAACTGAACTCTGCGCCTGATTTTTAGGCCAAAGAGGCTTTGTCCTTGAAGGACTATTGTTTTCGTTTTGCGATTTTGCGTTGAATCACTAAAAATGGCCGTTTCAGTTTTCAAACTGTTGCCACCAAATGTTAGAGTCCTGCATTATATTTGAAGAAATTAAATAAAGAAAAAATCTGCATAAATGTATGTATATTTCTCGCATTGTGATAAAACAACGGAATTTGAACAATCGAATTTTGAATGACGTAATCCTCCTACGAATATGGGCATGTGGAAGACCGAATTTGAAATTTGGAATTTGTTTTATTATCGATCTCATATTTTGTAAAACTTTGTAAGGTATTTATTTCTCCCGCCTTCCTTTCGTGGTGTAGTGGTCAGCACACTGAGCCGGTATTTCAGAGGTCCGTGGTTCGATTCCCGGCGAAGGCGTTGCTAATTTTTCATCTCTTCTGCCTTCCAAAATTACCTAATGTCTCTACAGTGGCGCCGAACTAAAAGGGTTGTGGATTATGACATTCCACACCCCGGATTTGGCGACTGGGTCTCCTAAAAATCCCAGTCGCCCTTTAAAAGGGGGAGTATGTAAGGTCTTTCTTCCGCCTTCCTAGCGTGTCTTCATGGTGTAATGGTCAGCACACTGAGCTGGTATTTCAGAGGTACGTGGTTTTTGATTCCCGGCGAAGGCGTTGCTAATTTTTCATCTCTTCTACCTCCAAAAATTACCTAACGTCTTTACATATTTAACGAATTTTTGATTAACAAACTTAAGGATTTCAAAGCGAGCAATGGCAACACTCTACGGGGGGGGACCTTTTTATCTTCAGCGTGCGGAACAGTGTATTGGAAATTCTAAAATATGCTCATTTTAAAATTATTTTGCGACATTGCTATTGAGCTGAATTTTATGGTTTAAGTGCAAAGAACATGATATTTAATGAATAAAGGTAATACACAAAACGTTAAAAAACGTCCCTTTCGACGTAATTTAAAATCTAAAACCTTTCAGATTTTTTTTACGTGAATTCTTCCTTTCTGTATGATATCAATAAACAGTTAATTATCAGTTTTAAAATATCAAATATTTTTAAGCATTTTAATTGAGAATACGTTCATTTGTTTATGTAAATTAAATAAGCATTCAAAACAACAACAACACACCTCAAAACCAGAAAAACCAATTTTTTCGTTTATACGAGTAATTAACTCTTATACTTCCATAGACGTGAATGGCAAACAGAAGATTAACAGCTGTACTCCATATTTAATTTTAATGGTTGATTTAACTATGTTTAGATATTTCAGATTATGTCCAATTAAATTACATACTATCATGGATAGAAACAATTCCTATATACTGTAACATAATCTATTATCACTGTTATTGTTCTACCTAAGTTCTTCTCCCCCTTTTCCCCCCAAAAAACCTGCATATGTGCTTAAACCTACATTTGATCTTTATATCCATCCAGTGCTAAAATCTTAACCACCAAAGCCTTTAGAAGGATACAATGATCTTTCTCGTGTGGGCAAGAACATTTAAAAATGATACCTAGTAAAAATGTTACTTAGTAATTTTTTTTTTCATCATCACAATTTCTTTCTTCTGTAGTTACGTCCAAACAGCACATGAAAAAATTACCGTAAATCTAGAATGATGCTATTAATGTTAATTACTATGTTTCTGAAATGATTAACACCGATATGAAATTAAGCTGATGCTTCCTTATCTTAACCAAAATCAGTTCAGATGCTATTGGTGTTATGAGATATAAAAATGATTTTAAATATTCAGTAAACCTACTGGAATTAATGAGTGAGTGAGTATTTCCTAAATCATCATGTACAAAGAAATGAAAATTTTCACTTTAAAACACACACAAAGGAAGAACTGATTAATGAAAAGTACCGGTTTGGATAAATTGGATTCCACTACTTATTGCTAAATATATATATATATATATATAAAGGCTAATTCCTAAGGGTATTACAGTAGACTCCAGATTAATCGAGATAATACAGGGTATGATGTTCATGGTTAACCCAAAACCATGGTTAATCCAATAATAGTTACAAAAATATGCAGAAAACAGGAATAACCCATATTATAATTTTTTTAAAAATTAAAAATTTACAATAGATCCTCAATCAACCGAGGTCTTGAGAAAATGTAGCAATGTTAGAAATGGTAAAGCGAAAACAGTAAAATTCGCAAACATTATCGCTGATTGATCACTTGGCCATTCTTATCAACAATGGGTCATTTAACAGAATTCCTATTGTGCTTTATGGTAAAAAATACCTGCAACAGAAAATGAAACCAATGCTAAATGACAATTTTTATACATGTTTAAAAGAATAAAAGCACGATGTTTCAGAATGGATAAGTGTAGAAAACAGAATTTTCATTTGAAGAAGAAACCATTCGTGGCATAGATCCAGGAACAAATAAAAACTGCTGTAATGCTGAAGATGACAATGAAACAAAAAAGCACTATCACAAAAATTGTTGGCGCACTTTTTCAAAAACGAGTTGTCTTAGAAAAATGAATGTAAGAAATATTTTTAAAAAATTCACAAATCGCGTAAATTTTGATGGAGTTTGCTTCCCCCAGTATCAAGAATATATTTGTTACAAAACAAGATCTTATACAGATTATTTTTAACTGAAAGAAACAAATTTTATCTGATAATTAAAGGGTGTTAGAATATTAGTAGCTACATGTATGTACTTCATTTTAGAATTTCGAATAAACCATGTAGAAAAATATTGATCATGACATAAAATTTAGTTTCTATTAACCGAGTTTTCAATTATCGTAGGTGATCGAACCACTCGGCCATTGGTACAGCAGTTGTATTCTTAAGCAGTTTAATTTGGAGAATGAGTTAATTTAGGTTATGTAAATTAAATTATCATTCAAAATAAGATCACATTTCAAAATAGAAAAAAAGAAAAAAAAATTATATTACTCTCGTATTTCAATAGGAGACAATGGGAGAGACAGACTATTAAAGGCACTTAATTTATTTTTAAAATGTAGCAATTTTTTTAATTGATGATTAAACAACGATTATATATCCCAGGTTAGGTACAATTAAATTATCTGCTTTTGTGGATAAGAATAATTCTTAAATACTGTGATATCGTGTTGTTACTGCTGCTTAAACGTATTTTCTTCTTATTTTTGTGTTTTCTGATAAAATTTTGCTTTATTCTGATGGATCATGATAGTAATTTTTCTAATGTAACAAAAAACACAGTTTTTTTTTTTTTAAAGGCCTGGTTAATTGGGAGTTGACTGTAATTACAATAAAAATATATGAGAACTGCATTGTACTTATGAAAACTGATTAAAATCGCTATTTATGTTATGATTAGTATATAAATTATGATGATGTAACAACTGGTAGAACTAAGGATTATTAATATAAAAAAAACAATATAAAAAGACTTGCAATAACTGACTACTTATATCTATTTGTTATTCATTCACGCAAAAATAGGCATCTCTTTCTGTACAGAAATAGAATTCTTAACTGTCAACATTATCATATGTCCTGCTCAGAATTTCCTTGTTCATTATTTAATTTTTCGACCAGCATGTTTAAAGTACATACAACGATGTCCATCTTCCTGTCCAGAGTTATCAGCTGCAAAGAAAAATAATGCCACACGATATCAGATTTGGAGCTTATCATATTCTGATACATTTAAGAAAAATAATGCATAACAGAAGAGCTCAATTAGAGATGAACAGATTCTATCTAACACATTAAAATGATTAATGATCTTATTGTATTTCTTTATTTTTTAAAGTCAAAGGAATATTTATTTTCCGGTTCTCCTTAACGTATTTACTTAAAATAAAGCTAATGGAAAAGATGCCAAGAAAAGCATCTTTTCTTGGGCTTTTTCTTTCAGTCAGTGGTTGAAGAGAGGTTCTCAAAATCTTGACATCTAAGTTATCCTAGCATCTGATGTTAAGAAACATTTCTATATGTGAAGAATTCTCCAATAGGTCTCCTAGTATACTACGGCCCAAAATTTACTCTCAAATTAAAAATTATTCTATATTCATTTCACAAAGGTAGAATAAAAGAGAAAAACATAGTTAAAATATATATTGAAGATTAAAAACCCTTCCATAATTTGAATAACTTTATGCTGTTTTATTGCACTTTGGTACAAGATAAAAGAAGATTAATGATGTACACCTTCAAACCAAAAAAGGTGGAGTCAGTTCTATATCTCCCGTTCTAGTGGGCCGATTGGCGAAATTTATCTTGCGTTTTTCATGTCTTCAAAGCGCGACTTGGTTGGTTGGTTGGTGTCCATGTCCTTTGAAAAGTGAAATGGATCCATGCATGGAAAACACAGCTTTTGCAGGTTCCACAATCCTTTCACTGTACGGCTCTACCTGGAAAGGAAATTACCCCCAAGCTTAAATATAAAAGGAATAGCAGGAGGCTGAGAACTGAGCTTATGAACTGAAGGACAGCTGTATATGTTCTTTTGTCTTTAGAGAAGGCTCCACTGTACCTTACTCTAAACTTCCTATCTTTCAAAACATCGGCGATCCAGATTAGAGCATTTCCTCTTATACCATGTTAGTATACGATTTCAATACGTTTTTGTCGCCATACAGTATCGAATGCCGATTTTATATCCAGGAAAATAGCAGTGGTCTTTTTGTAGGTCTTTCCTGAAAAGCCATCAATAACCGATTGACATAGGTAGAAAAGCTGATCTTCTGCAGTGTGATATTTTCTGTACGCAGTTTGATAGAAGTTCAATTTGTTATTCTTTACAAGTTCACCCATGATTCGTGAATGTATAATACATAATTTTACAAAGAACACTAGTCACTGCAATGGGTGTGTAGTGTTTACACTAAGTGGCCGGTTTCTCCAGTTTAAGCAGGGGCACAATAATAAATGTTTTCCAGTTCAGGGAAAGTTTTCCCTTTTTCATCTTGTTGTTAACTATATCCAGTACACATTCAGTGGCGATCTCGCCCAGATGTTTCACTATTTCACCAAACATGAGATCGTTACCACGGGATTTCTTATCATTAGTAGGCTTATAAGGTATTTCTCCCACCTTCTTCGCCTTTGTAGTATAGTGGTCTGCACGCTGGGTGCGTATTCCAGAGGTCCGCAGTTCGATTCTCTGCGAAGGCGTTGCTCATTTTTCATCTTGCCTGCTTCCAAAAATACCTAATGTCTCTACAGGCTTAATTGGCTCTTGGCAGAAAATAGCTTGAGTATAAGGGTCATCGTTTGAATATCTTCTTGCTTCTAAAAGTAATTTCCTAACTGCTCTATTCATTATTTTGTTTTCTGTCTGGAACTCCCATTTACTAATGTTTGAGTTGTGCATTTGCTGCTGCTTTATTTTTGTCTGCTGAGGCAATAATATTTTATCTCTGGGCAGTTGGAATTTTAGAGTATTTATCTAGGGCACTAACCATCCTCCAGAGTTTTGCATCTTTTTTTCGGATCCAGATGATTGCAGAATTCTGCCCATTTTAAGCGTTTGCCTTTTGCTGTTTCCTCCTCAACTTTCCTAGTAGCCTCAGCAAGTCTGTCCCGATTCAGATCTGTGTTTTTCCTCTTTAATTGTTCGTTTGTCGTATCTCTCTCCTCAATTAGGAAATCAATGTTAAGATCTTTCCAATATTGGACCTATCGTTTTTTCCGTTTCCTCCAGGTATATATATATCTCTTTGCCACTTTAGCAATATTTTTTGTGAGAGTTAAAATTTTAACCTCAACCCATTCTTAAATCGAGGTTCATGCTTATACAGATCTTCCAAATATTGGGTAAAGCCAGTCAAATTTGCCTTTCTGAAGTTCCATTATCTCCTTTGTTGATCGGCCACTTCCGTCCGCATATTAAGGGTGGTGAGAAAAGAACGGTGATCACTCATTGCATTAACCAAAATTCCCCAGTTACAAAGGTGCGATATCTGGTAACTGATGGCTGGGAGGTCCAGAGCTGATTGTGTGCCAGTTGATCTTAATAGATATGTGTTTTGTTTATCATTAATGATGGTCAGCTCTAAATCCATCAGAATGCCTTCCACTTGCATCCATGACATGTGATCCCCAAGCGGGGCTGTTTGCATTAAAGTCTTCAAGCAGAATGTCATGATCTGCATAGGTGTTACCTATTTCACTTAATTAATTTGGGATGATGAACTAGAACAAAAGAATGCTCAAGAGTGAAAATTCCCAGGGTCTGGACTTCTGTGTCTGCCAATATCTTGGCCTACAAAGATCATTTTATATTTGGCCACACTTTAATTAGAAATGCGAGTCCACCTCCACGTCTACCCACTCTATCTCTTTTAATCTTTTAATCGTAACCCTTAATGTTAGATTGAATCTTGTCATTTAGCCATGCTTCCTGTAGACAGGCAATACGTATATCATTTTAAGTTAGTAAGCATTGTAGCTTATCTCTCTTTTTAATTGTTCCATTAATGTTCCATTAAGATGTTGACTGTTCGCGTAGCATATTTCCCATCTTATTCCCGGACAAAAGCACGACTTAGGATATATATTAGATTATATATATTGTTCTAACATAGGTATTTTGACACAAAATCCGACTTTTTCTGAAATAACATACCGTTTCTTTCCATATTTCGATTCTACGACTAAAATTATGCCAAGTTTCGAAAAACTCATACGAGTAATTTTCAAAAAAGTAGCTCTCAAAATTTTAGCTTCACAATGTTAATAGAATTTGGTATATAGTTTACAAGGTAGTTCTCCTGCCTTCTTAGCGTGCCTTCGTGGCGTGGTGGTCTGCACGCTGGGGGCATATTCCAGAGGTCCGTGATTCGATTCCCGGCGAAGGCGTTGCTTACTTTTCATTGCTCCTGCTTCCGAAATAAATCCTAATGTCTCTGCAGTGGCGCCCGAGCTAAAAAGGGTGTTGGCTGATGATTCTCCTTACCCAGGATTCGGCAATTGTGTCCCCTAAAAACCCCAGTCGGCCTTTAAAAGTGGGAGTATATAAGGTATTTTCCCCACCTTCTTGGCGTGCCTTCACGGTGTGGTAGTCTGCACGCTCACCACGTAATTGAGAGGTCTGCGGTTCGATTCACGGCGTAGACGTTACTAATTTTTCCTCTTGCCTGCTGCTAAAAATAACCTAATGACTCTATAGTGGCGCCCGAACTAAAAGGGTGATGGATGATGATTCTCCCCAAGTTATTAATATCTTTTTTTTTTCATTAAACTTACTTGACTTCTTCTTTCACAATTTGAAATCGATTCAAATAAAATTCGCAGATATTTTCTGATTTATTTTTTAATTTGCTCTTTTTGGTATTTTCTATAAATTTTCAAAACTTTTTGAATTATAACCTGTGAAATTATAACTTTAAAGCAGGTGTATTTCTAGCTACACCTGCAAAAAATTGGAGCTTTTTATTTGAAATTTCCAAAGATATACGTGAATTTATATATTGGCGTGTTTCGAAATCGGGCATATTTATTACAAGCAATAATAACGCCAAGTATGCTTTACGCATTTTGTTAAAATTATTTGAAAGAATGAACGATGCATCTTTTTTCCCCTCATGAACAATGAAAAAAAGGGAAAAAAATAGGTTACTATAAATTAAAAATTTTGAAAAAAGAGCGCCAAGATAAATTTTTTAATTTCTCCGTAAACTTCCCATCAAATTTCATAGAATTTCATATGTGGGCGTTACCTGAGTTGTAGAATGAAAATATGGAGAAAAATCGATATGTCATTTCAGAAAAAGCCCGATTTTGTCTCAGAATACCTATGTCAGAACAATGCGATATATAAATTTAATATATATCCTAAGTCGCACTTTCGAGACATGGAAAAAGCAAGTTAAATCTCGTCAAACGGCCCAGTAGAGCGGGAGATATAGAACTGCCTCCCCTCCTCTTTTTTGTGTGAAGAGTGTACCTTTAAAAATTTACGGAAACAGGATTTCTTTATGATACCCTTTTTTTAATTAATGATCATAGCTTATTATAAGTATGAATTACTATAAATTATTATAATTGTTAATAACATTTTATTAATAACCATAGTTTTTATTAATAACCTTACAACCATAGTTTAATTACTTTTATTATTAAAAATTACCTGTTGTTCCATACGATGCAAACGAGCGCCAATAGTCATTGGTCTCATGCCTTTTTCTGTAAGATAAGAGCCAGGCTTTCCTAATGTGTGATCCAGTCTATAAAATTCAAGTAAAATTTTAAAATGATAAAATATTGATATTTATAAACATACAGCATGAAATTACAAACATGTGCAAAATGCGCTTTCCTTGGACAGTATGCACAATGCTATCATGTAATTTTAAGACCAAACCAGACAAAACGTTTTAGAAAGTTAACGAATAGATCTTCAAAGAAAAGTGGATGAAAATTCATTATAATTATTCTAAATAAAACTGCCAACTTTTATGATTGTAATTACAAAATACTATAATAAGTATTTGGTAATTAGAATAGCATGGAGACAAACCAGTTTCCATGCTATTCTAATTACTATACTGGGATAACAATTTCAAACATTAAAAAAAATTAAAAATAATTTTAAAAGTATTAGCATTACTTTTAACTTGCTTAGAATTTAATGACACTCTTCAAATTTTGAACGTTTCATTCATTTTATTAAAATAATTTTGCTTAAATGTTTTAATATTTTTTTAATTACGAATACGCTAACTTAGCGAAACATTCAAACTACTGCCTGCAACTACTTCAAAACATTCCGTTCACAAGCATTAAAAAAAAAATAATGAATTTTTTTCCTATCTTCACCTTTTCTTCCTCCTAGCATTGAACACAATGAACGCTTAACACAATTCAGTCGTTATCTCTCATTAATTTCTAATCAGCTTTTTATTTGAAATTAAACTAGGTTAAATTTAATTAGTTATCCAACTTCTCTTTCATCCATCATTAAAAAGAGGTATTTGTGTAAAATTCAATAATTCAAAAAGTTAAACTAATTAAGCATTAAATTATTTTCAAATACCTCCTCTGAAGTTCTTTTATTCGCACCATCATGTTCAAATGTCCTTGAGAATACTGTTCAATAACATCACGGACATCATAAGGCTTACGAGCTTGCTATGAAGAATACATTCCATAAGAAAAAATGAAAGAATCAAAATAAGAACAATAACAACTTTAAATTCTAGTATTAATAGGAATAGTTCACAATAAAAATAAGAAAAACTCACTTGAAACTTCCTACGAGCAACAAAATATTTAATTTTCCTTATGGCTCGAATTGCATTTTTGTGTGCTTCTGTTAGACTAAAAATAAATAAATAAATAAATATTTTTAAAGTTATTAAGGACTTAAAACATAGTAAAGGGCAAAATACAACAGAAAAAGTTAACTTGCTCCACAGCAACTCCCTATAATTAGTTTCAGTGCTAAATAACAAGACTAAGAAATTTGCTTACAATAATGGCCATTTTAAAGATTAAACAACTGCAAACTTAATTTATAAGAAGAATGAAGCTTTTATAAGGAATAATTTCACTACAAGAATATAGTTTTCTTTTATACACTAGTGGATAATTGCTAAGGACGACTATATAGTGCGCAGAAACGTAAGTGTGATTGGATGCCAAGTGAAATAAAATAATGTCAGAATACTAGGACATCCAGAAGGCTGTGAGAAATTGTTCAAACAACAAAATGGTTATTTTGTGCTCAATACGTAAAAGTTAAAAAATGCAATTACCGTTCGCAGGCATTCTGGCGTAAGATGTCAGTACAGGGTATGGACCGCCATGGAGAACAATGCAAGATTCCACATATCATGTCTTTACCCAGCAGCTGTTAGGGTATTTTATCCCATTTCTCTGTCAGTGCACGGTTGAGGGTCTCCTTGTTTATTGGTGGGCATTATCGACCTACAAGCGTCCTCCCGAAAGCATCCCAAACATTTTCAGTGGGATTCAGATCTGGAAAACGAGCTGGCCATTCGAGGCGTTGAATATCCTCGCTTCTCTAGATACTGCTCGACAGCGACTGTTCGATGTCAAGTTGCATTGTTATCCATGAAAACAAATATATCACCAAGAGCAACACGAAACATGAGGCAGCAGAACATTATTAATGTATGGCTGGTCAGCATAGTTCCAGTTGGAAGCATATAGAGCAACGTACGGCCGTTGATCATAATCCCAGCCCATATTATTGACACTACATGTAGGATTTCAGGCCTTTCCTCTATGCTTGCCGGACTATATGCAGTGCCACTCTCACGCCAAATCAAATGGCGTCTACAGTATAGAGACAAATTGAACCTACTCTCATCTGAGAAAATACACAAGCCCAGTTGTCTTCCCTCCAACTGCGACTTTGATGACATCATTGCAATCGGGCAGAATTATGAGGTCTAGACAATGGAATGCATACAACAGGACGGCGGGCATATAGTACTCCTTGATGTAAACGTCTGGCTACATTTTTTGGGAGATTCGCTTGCCAGTAGCAGCAAGTAACTAATCTGCTAGCCCAGTAGATATGCTGTGCCGGTTCCTTTTTATCGACAGCACTATGTACCGATCTTCTGCACGTGTCGTACAGGAACACGACCCACTCTGTAATGTTTGCTACACATTCAATTTGTTTGGAATAATATCCAAAGCTTTGAAACCACACTGGGGATGACGTTGAATACCCTTAGCAGCATCTGTTATTTTTCGCCCTCCTTTAATCTTCTCAATAATACGGCTACGCTTAAGATCATCTAAGCGATGTCGGGAAAAAGTACCAAAAATTGCTAGTTCGTCAATTTATTCTTTCCCATTAAATTTTGCTTTTGAACAACAGCGGTAAATATGCGCCAAATCCTTTACATCTCTTACCAGCGCTATCACGTGGCGAACAACTTCGGCAATCCAAAATTTACTTACACACAAGACATCTTACTGTATCCCGCACTTATGCTAATTTCCTTACGTTCCTGCCTTTCATTTTGTGGTTGCTATCATTGCTACTGCCATCTGTCCTTAGCAATTGTCCACCAGCGTATTTTAGATATGTTTTAATCAGATTGGGTGGTTGCTTAATCCTGCTCATACCACCAGCGATGATTATTGGAGAGCTCAAAGCAATAAGAATCAGCGTAATATTCGTACATTTGCAGGAATCTCCAGCTTCAGAAGTGCAAATGATGAAAGAAAACACAAATCCTGGAAATTTATGAATACTACCCTGATTCGTGTTGCCTAAACCCTAAACACCTTATTCGACATGTTACTTTAGCTCACACTACTGATGATGACAAGAATTTGTTGCATTCTCAAAAAACATCTCGAGTGTGACCATGTAATGGAGAGTATCCAATAACAGCTGTACCACTCGCCTTTTTTTTTTCTTTTTTCTTTTCAAAAAAAGTATATCTGAAGATGTCAGATTTCATGCCAGAGAAATTTCAAATCATTCTTCTATCAAAACACTACTGAAAGGGCCCTAAGTAATTCTGCTTATTGGCATGAATAATTAATTCTATTGCAGCAATGTGGTTCTGCATAAACCAATGCTCCAAACTCCTGATTATACTTATACCTGGTGATCGTCACTGTAACACTGCCATGCAGCAGCTATTCCATTTATTTGAATCTGAAAACAACTAATTGTTTTTGAGTCTAACAACACATTATTATAAACATAAAGAAATAATATGAGGTTTCCAACTGCTCAAAAAACCAGAATGCTGCACGCCCTTGAAATCAAAACAGCTTTTAAGAATTAAAAATAATATTCGCTTTATAAAGTTTCAATTATAAAATATGCATATGAAAAATTCTATATTGGTGTTAACATGAACAGAAATAAATATCATAAAATTATTTTAGTTTTTTAAATGTAAATATTTACAAGAATACATTAAAATTAAGCTTACAAACAAGATACGCATAGGAATGTTTCAGTCACGTTAAAATTATTTTGCATGAAAATAAACTTTTATTCCTTACACTGTAAGCATTGGTGGGTCGTCAATATCAATCTCAATTTCATCAGAGCCTACATCATTACTCTGATATGACTGTGCTTGAGTTGGAGTACATTGAGGCTTAAATTCCTTTCTTATAGATCTCTGATGAACCAGTCCTTTAAATAAATAAATAAAGAAAAACATATTAAAAACAAAGACCTCTTACATTATTCTGCTATAAAAAATTAATATACAAAGTTGGTTAAAAACGTATCGAAACATGTGATAAAAACAATGTGCAAAATAAAATATATTTTCTGCATGAAAATTTACATGATGTCATAGCTGTTTATATATTTTATATATTAGCTGTTTATATATGCTAGACGCGGTCGAAAGCTTTCGCCACGGCTAGCATGAGGATGGCAACATTTCAACGATTGAGCAGGGCTTCTCCGCAGAACTCTACCATTCAGACTAGCTGTTTTGTTGTAGATAATTTGCTACGAAAGCCAAACTGTTCAGAGGGTAGCACTTCCAGGAATGGCTCCAGTCTGTTTAAAATTATCCTTTCATGAGACCTGAGAGTAGACTATAACCCTCAGGTCTGGTTGCATCTTTCCCTGGTTTCGGGAGTAAAATTATCTTAGCATGCTTCCATAAAATGGGAAAATAACCGATATTCAGGCATGCATTTATTATATTGGTGAACTTCATAATAACATGGGGAAGAGATTTTTGATAGAAACATTATTTATGGCGTCATGCCCCGGTGCTTTTTTAGGGGGTTTTTAATTTTTTAATTAATTGCTTTACTTCCCCAGGAGTAGCAAAGTCAGCAATTTCCTTGCAGTCGTTGGTGCGTTGAGCCAATCTTTGATGCTATAGCACACATCGTAGACGAAGTTGATATCTTTTGGAGTGTTCTGTTTGGCTTAAATTGTTGCTCTAAGTGATCTGTGAGGACATGTGCTTTACCTTTATTTGTTATTGCAACCATATTGTCTGTAAAAATTGGTCTGCTGCTGCTAAGCTTTCATTTCAAGTCTTTAATGAATGTCCAAAATGAGCTATCTGCAGGGTCCAAACCTAGGAGTTTTCCTCCCAAATTTCATTTCGATATTGATCAATTTTGTTTTTAATTAGTCTGTTCAGGCTATTAAGTTTTTTTTTATAGGGGGCTTTATGTAAGGTGCCAGTGCTTTCTTAATCTGTTTCTCTCTTTAATCAGTTCATGTATGTTGTTTGGAAGTTTGCTAGGATACTGATCGTTTGTGATATAGCGTGAGATATTGTTTATTGCATTATTAATCCCATTAGTAAGAGTTTCAGTTGCATTACCTATGTCCTTTCTCGTACTCAAGCTATCAATAATGAGAGGGTTTTCTCGAAGTAGAGAGAAATAAATTCTAGTTGGTGATTTGGACTCGTTCCTTACTATTACTTTGGAGGCACCCAGTGTAACTAATATCGGGATATGGTCTCATGCTTGACCTCTAGACTCACAGGAATGCAAGTATTAATAAGCAGTATGTCCAAAATATCCGCTCTTTGTAGACCATTTGGCCTGTAAGTGTACTCTGCAGGAACATTTATTGCAATAGGGAAATCGTAGAGAATTTTTCCGTTTCTATTTGTGCGACAACAGCCCCATTCTGCATTTTTTGAGTTCAAGTCTCCGGCAATAATAAATTGCTTATTGTCTGGGCAGAAACTGATGAGTATTCTCTCACCGAGTTGTGCATTTGGCGGGTTGTAAACCGTGCTAAATATACAGTACCATGAAATGGAAGATACAACACTGCTGTTACAATTTCATGATCGTTGCTTCTATCCTCGCTGATGAGGCAGTATTGAAAGGCATTGCGAACATAAATTGCGCCCCACCTCTTTGACTCCTTCTATCACACCTGTACACTCTATAATTAACAATATTTAAGTTCATACACGTCACGTAGGTTTCTAAAATGAGCACAATATTCACATCGTAAGTAATTAGAAAATTTTGAAATTTGGTAATTTTATTAGAATTCTACAAGCATTCCGAACTACTAATTTTATAGGGGCCTTGTTAATGTTGTGACTTGCCATTATTTGATTTCAAGTTTGGGTTATCTTTACTTATGTTTTATACTTATTAAGTGACGAAGTCACACATTCAGGTTCCTGGGCCACGCCCTACCATGTGTATCATGTCGATGTTGTACATATCTTTTGATAAGCATAGCACAAAATTGGTGAAAAGTTCGAAAATTTGCAGGTGATAGGCATGAAGATGTTACGAATATGGTTCTGATAACAATTATAAATCTTGACGCAAAATTAGAGAGAATTTAGCTGCAAATAATTGCTGAGATGAAAAATTCAATTCGCTTCTACGGAGAGTTAGTTACAAGCAGCAGCAGTGGAGTTGGTACATCCAACAGTGAGGGAGGCAGGTCATCTACTACAAAATAAGCTATGGAGAATAACAGGAGGAGGAAAGTGCAGCACAAAAGTAATTGGCAGGCATATTAGAGGGGGAGGGGTTTCAGAGCCATACGATTTAGGATAGGTCAAGCCAAAAAAAAGGGAAGGGGGAAGGACTTTAATTTAAACATTAACTGCAGAGTTTGATGTGAGTTACTAATTAAGCAGTTACTATTTAAATTTTTAAAGTTTTAGAATTTATAAGTTAAAATAATTGCAGCCCAGCTGTTCAACGACTTGTCTAGAGATATGAAAAATGTACATACAAGCAGATAAAATCATACCATATGTTTTGTATTGATATTGGTGTTAAGTGTATCTAGAACAGAGATACCTCTTAGGTTTAGCATTAAATGAGAAATTTAAATAAAAATAAAGCTAACATTTCAGATTAACATTCATTTAAGTTATTTGCTTAAAGCATTAATTTCGGATAACATTTCGAAACATACGAAATGTTTGTCAATATTTTTTGTATGTTCTTTTAACTTAGGGATATATTTTTTAAAAGTTTGCATCATTTTTACTATGTTATTATGTCCGAAGACACTCTGTATATCTTTTAGACATTGAAAGAATTCAAATAATTCATTATTATTATTATTAGTGTTATTACTTCCATAAGGGAGCTATGAGAATTCAACAGTAGAGTGGTTTTTATCCATTAGCCTATTTTTAGGCTGTGATCAACTGAATTGGCCTTGCAAAACTGAGTCCAGGTTTAATGTTGCTCCTTTTCTTGGGGGCTGGTCTAAATTTTGGAAACATTGGGCAAACACGATACGACGATGGATGCTTTCCGGAGCAGTTCATACGCTTAGGATACTCGGGTTTTCCAATTATAGGGTAGTTAGTCGATCTATGATTTTCACCGCATTTAACGCATCGAGGCTGGAAAAAGCAGTTTTCCGAGGAGTGATGCCACTTTTGGCAATTGTGACATTGCAGGATTTGATTTTTTGTTTTCTATTCCTCAATAGACACTATGTAAAGCATCACATCCTTAAGGTTGTAGATATCCTCTATGTTTTCAGATTGCATCAGGATTAACAGAAACAGTGGCATTATGTTTTGTACTTGTCGTATTTGTTGGGAGAGTAAAAAACCGGAGCTTTTGATTGCTGAAACTAATTCAGAAAGATCTGCAAACACTTTCTTTACTTCGTTTATTGCGTCTGAATATAAACCAGTGGATAATGCCTGTGCATACGACTTATTTTCCAGAACGCGGTTTGCTTATGTTTTTGGTTTAATCTTATTTTCCTTGGGGAATTTATCACACCCCTAAAATTGAAGGTGTGGTCTAAATTGCGGTTGGCACAGCGCGGGGGGCGTGTCCTTGTTTTTGTTAGGGCAGTTCTATGAGAAATGTTTTTCCACACATCTTACACGTTTAGGAGTTTAATTACACACAGGAGTGGTGGAACCCCTGAAACCTATAGCATAGCAAGGATCCCGACCGTCCTTTACACTGTTCGATTTTTTACTCTTAAGTCGACTAAATACTCTTCATTAAATATTTCGGAGGATTTGTTTATTTTAGGCAAAGTAACGAGAAATAAGGGAAATTTTGTAACTCCCCTTATTTCTCGTCAGATGACTGACTTCTAGTGTCAGATGACAAGGCTGATATTGAATTTCTAAGCTTCCAAGTCTTCCTGAATTTCGTCATGATCATCGTCTCTAAATAATCCCCTGATAACTACTTTTAAGTCCTTTTCCTGTGGAAGGATGTAACAGTGATGTTCGATATTAGCTACTTTAAGCAGCCTAATACACACTCTATAATCTTCAGCATTTTTAGTGGACACTTTTATACCATCCGGTATAGTGTGATTCCTAACTTCTATATTATTTTCTTTAAAAGTCCTCCATACTCCATGCTTGGCTGTTCTTTGACAGTTATTGGTGGAATTTTGTTTTTCTTTGTATACTGACTATCAGTAATTTGCTGATCGTCGGAAGATTTTTGATTCATTATTAGTACTAGTATTCATTTTATTTTCACTACTTGGAGCCATAGCTGTAATGTTCATGTCCATGTAATCATAATGTTCGCGTCAATTTTAACCTGTTCCTTAGGTGTCTGAGTTATTGTGGCTTTGTTAAGTACCTGAGTTGTAGATTCAAGTTTTTGCAGCAGGTGTTTGGTTTCTACTTCTTACTGTCTGGTCACCTCTGCGTTTTGTGTAAAATTCGTCGTCAGAGCTAACATCCTTATTGAGTGTAATTTTCTCGTCTGAGCTAAGCTGAATATTTTAATTAATATTAATGGGGCTTATAGACCGCTCATTATCACTGTTTGTCTCTGTAATTCAAGCACGTGTGTCAGTATCAATCTGCGTCTGTTCATTTATGGGAGCATGTGGCTCAGTTGCAACCTGTCATTTATCTCCAATTTGTGTATTTTCATCCGATGAGCATTTAGATGATCATCTATACATCTTAACATTTGTTTAAAGAATTTGTATTCTTTTAAATTTTTGTTATCTAACATACCTAAATGTCGCTCATGCTCACATTCTGCAATTAGTTGCTGAAAAAACGCTTTAACTCTGTCCATGATTGCAAATCAAATGCAAAACAAATCCAAAATCCAACGCCCGAATTCTCAAAGCAACCTGCACCCCGGAAACGGGCCCACTCAAAGAAGTCCTGGCAGACAGATGGGCAGGCGGATACCCACAAGGCCCCTGACAGTGAGAGCTTGGGGGTAACTATGTGGGTAGAACGACCAATCCATGGAACTAAAACACTTACCTTAAAAATATAGCAATGAAATAAGTCAAAACAACAAGATAATAGCAACTATTGGCAATCAGGCATAGGCAAAGGAAAAGAAATAATATGGCGTCGAGCGAAGCTCGAGGCTGCACTCAGTAAAATAAGAGGTCGTAACCAGATCTGGTGGCACGCGCAATCTCTCACAACGTCCTACACTCACCGCGTCCTCCCTCCCTGCCGCTGACTCTATCTGATATTTTGATACTTTCGTCGGTATACTGACTTACCCCAGCAGGAGATATTTTCCCCTACTCTTACCAGTACCTTAGAGATTCCTGTTTAGGGCCTGACCTTTGTCAAATCTGCTGTTAAATATATCCTCTAGATGAGGTGGATTTGTCGGTAAGAAGTTTTGAGCACTTATTCGTAGCCGTACAAGTATTGCCGATACATCGCGCAAAGCGCGACGTTTCCGGCCCATGATAAAAGGCCCAGAGGGCACATGACAGTAGTTGAGTCCGAGCAGGTAAATTAAAAGTCAGAGGCAAGAGAGAAAGGGGGTGACCATGCATCCCAGGCCAAGGCAAGGCTAAAAAGCGAACAAGTGAAAAAAGATCAGACAGAGCGGTGACAAATTATGGACAGTTAAATATTAAATGTGATTAAAAAATTTTACATAGCACAAAAAATAAAAATAAGATGCAATACGAATTGAGAACAAAAATTGCAGTAGCTGAAAGTACAAGATAAAAATTAAGTAGGGAAATAAGTGTCACGGGTGAGGTGGGCCACGAGTGGTCTAATATCAAAGTCTTCCGTGAGAACAACGTAGTTTAAAACATTGAGCTTCTTGAAGTGTTCACAGTTTCTCGCATTTTTGAAAGCACTTTGTCTCTTGAAGCAGACCGGAGGCTTGAGATCAGTCAGGTGAGTTCCTTCGACGAATCCTGAGATGTGAGTTTTTGCAAACTATACACAACGACCACTCAAAATGCACAGAAAATTACATTCCATATGAGGGAGATGAGAAAGTCTTTCAGAGTCTTAAATTTGAAAAAACACAATTTTCTACAGAAAATTGTCAGCGCACAGAAGTATTGTGTTGTCATTGGTTATCGTGGTCATATTGGGTTTGAATAAAGCAAATGTGCAGCTTAATGTCTAATAAATATATCCTACCCCAGAATCTCATAGGTCAGGATGTCAGCGAAGTCTGTAGGGTTGTTCTTTATTTATCTATTGAAGAAATTTTCATTTATCCTGGTGATGAATTTTTCAATGGATTCCATCTTCAGATCTGCATGCAGACTTCTATTGCGAATGAAATAGGGAGCGTTTGTGATCATCCTTAGAGCTTTGTTTTGGAGAACCTGAAGGATTTTAATGTCCTTATCGCTGGCGTTGGCCCAGGTTGGGGGAAGCATATGCAACAATAAGTCTTAAGATTTAGATGGTATAATCTCCTCTTGAGATTTAATGTGAGTCTATCACTTTTGAGCAGCAGGAAAAGCCTGATCATCATGCTATAAGCCTTTCCACACACATTAGTCATGTGGTTGGACCAGGTGAAGTTTTTATTTAGAGTAACCCCCCAAATAATGACTCGATTTGGTGCTCTCTCCGGTCTTATATAGTTTCCTACCAGCCGCCGAGAAATCTTGAGTACCTTCCATTTCTATATTCTATTCCATTTCCATTCATATAAGTTACATATAAGGATTAAGTAGAGCTGTTCAATTACAGAATTACAGCTATACAGAGATCGGAGCAAAATGTCGCCAAATTTGGCGGCAAAAATTAGTCGCCAAAATCATTATTAAAAATTTATTTCATAAAGACTTTGATATTATAAATTGGTGATATCTCCCCAGTTTAGCGAGCTAGTCATTTATCCCGATGTTAAATACACTTACCCCTGTAACCTTATTTTTCCAAGACAACTTCGCTTTTTAAAGCTACATTATACAAAAGATACTACAATTTCACATATAACTTCACTAAAAGTATTTATATAGATACAAAATTCTTAACAAAATCCTTTCATTTCCAATTGCTGCAATATAGTTTACGAACAAACATGTATGTTACAGTAAAAGAAAAATGTTTTAATATTAAAAACAAAGCATAGCCACTTTAGGAAACATTTTAACTCTGACATTATCTAATACACACGTTAATAAAAAATAATGATTTGAGTTTACTCAACATTCAGTTTGTTGTTATACTTAACAAAAGGAACATACTAGTATTGCTCTTTTTCTAAGATAAATTGTATATAACATTAAAAAACGAAAATACCTGATTTGTTTTCATCTCCATTAACAGTTGTTTCACTATCACTTTGTTGATTTGAAATTTCATTTGTACTGTTACTGACAGGAATATCAATTTTTGACTTGGATTTTCTTCTTTTTAAAACACTAGCCTTTTTAGCTACCTTAAAAATTCAGAAATAATACCATATAAGATGTAATCCTGAAAGAAGTTGATTCTTATTTTCAAAACATTATGCAATACGAAAAAAAAATTCTTAATAAATTTTTTAATTAATTATTAAAAGGAACTCCCTACCTGAATTACTGAATTATGAAAAATAAACTTGCTTTGCTTTCCCAATACACATTGAAAATCCTGTCATTATATGCAGGAAAGCTATTAACAGTTATATCACAAGAATAAGCTACATCTTATTTCCTTTCATATTATGCTACATTATAAATACTGCATGTACGTCAACTTAGAGTAAGTATCGAACTTCAGCATTGGCTTCCATTAGTTAGATGATATAAACTGTGAATACCCGACATATTTTGACACATATCATGCTCACAATGAAATCACATTTGTTTTTGTACAAAAACAGCTATATACATAATTCAGTACCATAAAAATATATACGATTGTGCTAAACTTAAGGCTGAGGGAACAAAAGTACTAGAACATCTAACATATTCGTCGTAACCCAATGAAAATCCAATCAAGATTTTGTTTGGGGTCAGGTCCAAGTGTGCAGGTACCAACAAATAACCAAAGTTGACATATCTAATAAGCAAAATGCACGAGTGTTATATCCACACACAGCATTTGAAGAATTTAGGATCATTTGTAGAATTGACTGAAGCAATTTCGCCCCCACCCCGCAAGTTGGGAATTGATGGCCTCTTACCAAAGTTCCTTTTAAAATTACATTATCAACAAATTATTACATAATTTCTTACAATTAATTACTTTATTTCGAAAACAGAAATTGTAAGCACTTACGTAATACATTTCGTGCACTAACAATTTTCATACAGTTTCCCATAGCCAAATAGAATATAAATGTAGTAAAACACTATGTCACATCATAAAATATTAATTAAAATGCATATTTTCAGTAAAGCTAATCTGAGAAATCTAGCATATATTTTCACTAATTGAAATTGCCACACATTTACGAATTAAATATGTAGAATTTTAAAACATCTAAAAAATTAACCTAATTTATTATGTTTTATAGTATACATATTCTAGAGATTTTATCTAGATACATTTTAGAGATTACATAATACAATGGCGTAAAAATTTACTTAAAATTACGTGGTCTAATTTATTCTTTAAATTCTTTTTTTAGTCTAATAGGCGTTAGCCCAGATGGATAATTTTGTTTCGGCATTTTGCGTTGATTCAATAAAAACGACGAATCACTTTTCAAATTGTTGCCACCAAATATTATCGCCCTATGTATTTAAAGAAATTAAATAATGAAGAATCTTCATAAATATATCTCTGTGTCTCACACTGTGATAAAACAACGGTACCTAGAGCCATCAAATTTTGAATAATGTAATCTTCCACCAAATATAGGCATCTGGAAGCCCGAAATTTGAACTTCGAGTGTTATAGTTCTTCGATTTCATATTTAGTAACACTTCAACGAATTTTTGATTAACAAACTCGACGATTTCAAAGCAAGCAATGGCAACACTGTACAGGAAAAAAAAAAAAACAAATTTTTATTTTTTATCTCCAGCGCTCGAGATTGTGTATCGAAAATTCTAAAGATATGCTCATTTTAAAATTATTTTGCGATATTGCTGTTGAATTGAATTTTATAGTTTAAGTGCAAAGAACATGATATTTAATTAATAAAGGTAACACACAAAACGTTAAAAAATGTCTCTTTGGGTGTAATGTCAAATCTGAAGAGTTTCAGATTTATTAGTCCAAAGGGGCAATTTGCTCTGAAGGACTTTTTTTTTTTTTTTTCCCCATTTTGCGTTGGTTCACTATAAATGTCTGATTCACTTTTCAAATTCTTGCCACGATATATTATCGCGCTGTGCTATATTTAAAGAAATTGAGTAATGGAAGAATCTGCATAAAATGTATGTGTGTTTCTCGCATTGTGATAAAACAACGGTACCTAGAGCCATCCAATTTTGAATAAAGTACGTTTCCACCCGAATATGGGCATCTGGAAGCCCAAATTTGGAATTTGTTTTATTATCTATTTCATATTTTGTAAAACTTTAACGAATTTTTGATTAACAAACTCAACGATTTCAAAGCGAACAATGGCAACACTGTACGGGGGGGGGAACCTTTTTATCTCCAGCGCACGAGACTGTGTATCGGAAGTTCTAAAGATATGCTCATTTTAAAATTATTTTGCGATGTTGCTGTTGAGCTGAATTTTATGGCTTAAGTGCGAAGAAACCTGATATTTAATAAATAAAGGTAACACACAAATTACGTTCCAAAAAAACGCCCCTTTGGACATTAATTTAAAATTTGAAACATTTCAGATTTTTTTTTTTTTTTTTTTTCGTTTTTCATAAAAATTATCTTGTGTTCTCAGAGTTTTTTTACCTGAAATCACAGAATATTTTCTTTCTTTTCTGACATCTTGTGCCTTTGGATAATATTTTCTGTATCCTTCATTTAAATATTTGCACTTTCATTTTGAGCATCAATTACTTAATCCCCTAGTCTACATCTATTGAAGGCGCGATGCCTTCTTTTATCACAGAAAGATCATTAGAATCACAGAATTGTCATTCATTCAGGGATGGATGAGGCTATCAGGAATTCGGAAAATTTCCCGAGGCGCCGGTGCTTGTGATGCTGTTTTTATTATCTAATAGCGATCACAAAAACTGAATTCATAACAAAAAGATTTAAAGACACTGAGAAAAAATAGCAAGATAAATTAATGATAACCGAATTAAACTTAATGTCTTAACCCTGTCGCCGTTGGTTTGACGCAGATTCATAATTGTTGGATTTAATTTTTTATTCCACTGCCTAAAAGCAAGGAATTTTTATGTCTCGCCACCTGTATGATTTCATTAAACGTTATACAGATTCCAGCACCCTTATTCAAGCAGGAAGCTGTTCTCCAAGATGAACATCTTCACATGGTGTTCCTGCAGCCTTGAAGAAGGTTGTTTTTTCTATGATACCAAAATTCATATGGAAGCCAGCCAGGGCCGATCCTAGCGAGGGACAAGATAGTGCACAGCACGTGGGCGGCCAAATGATTATCAAGCATATAATAATAGAAAAGGCCGGTCAGTTTTAACTTGCACGTGAGCGGCCGACGGTCTAGGATCGGTACCGAAGCCAGCACATTTGTGCCTTTAAGTCAGGCCACCTTGTGTCTTTGCGTGTGATTGTCAACTTGAAAAAGGTACCTGCGCCTTTGTGCAACTTGGTAAGTGTTCACCAAGATTAAGACTTTCACATGGACATCTCAGCAGCCTTGATAAGGATTGCTTTCCTCGCGACACTAAACTTCATAATGGCAATGACACATTTGTACCATTATGGATTGGATTGGATTATTCAATTACGGCAAAGCACACGAGGGCTATCTGCCTAAAGGGAGGGATGCCATTGTGGAGGACTTTCTAAGGGAAACTGGCTCGTATACACGTTACACATGGGGAAAACCACGAAAATGCCCATGCAGCCAGCCCGTTCGCGGGATTCGAACCTCGGACAGAACTACCAGTGTTCAGAGTCTTTACCGCTTGGCCGCTGGTGGGCTGTACCATTATGCCGTGGAATCCTTGCACCCAGGTGAACGATGGGTAACTTGGAAAAAGGTGCCGATGCCTTTACCCAAGTTGCTGGCACCGGTTAGACTAGCCCCATCCGTCTTCGCATTATTCATAACATTTTATTACTATTTACTAGAGGTGCATTAAGCCAGGCGAGGGGTAATATGTGCAGGCCTCTCAGAGAGTTTTTACATACGTATATTATAGAAACAGAATTAAGTTTCAAGTATAATAAACAATTCAGCATGCATAACTTCTTAATATGTATATTTGAATAAAATGGTAATTTAACATTTTTATTTAGAAATTTTGCTGCATTATTTTTGTAACGCTAAAAATGTAAAAATGAAAAGTCTATCAAAATGCAAAATATTTAACGGCAAGAAAAATAAAATGTTAGAACATTTTATGAAATATTTATGATTGGAACAATTAGCTTTTTATTCAGCTTAGATACTTAATTGTTTAAAAACCTTTTTCTCAAATAAAAAAAAATTAAAAATTATTTTCGAATTATCGGTGTTATTTGGTATTTCAAATATAATAGTGCAATATTACATACATTTTTTTTATTACACTGCTCGACACTGAAAATGCAACACCAAGAAGGAGTGGTCAGAAATTTATGCAAATTTTAGAGTAGACACACATCACTGAGTTATGCAATTGATGTGAAATGTGCAGCTCTCCGACGCACGTGAAGTAAGATATAAGGGAAGGAAAGTGCAGAATGGGCAATATTCATGTCATTATTTCTGCCAGACGAATTATCGAAGAAAGTTGGTTTTTGTCCCGGAGCATACGTGTAATAGGAGAGAATGCCAGGCCGCCATTAACAAAGGCACTTCCAGCAGATAGACGATTTTACGAGGGGTATGGTGATCAGACTGAGAAGGACGGGTTGGTCCTTACGTCAAATCGCAGCTGATACCCACATGGATGCGAGCACGGTGCATTGGCTATGGCAAACATGGTTGGAACCATGGAGGTAGGAAGTAAGATGGAGTTGCCCTAAACAAGGTTCTCCCGTACTCTGCTCTGAAGCACCGCCGATCCCTACGTGGTGACCAAAACATTGGGTCATTTACCATTGAGTTCAATGGAATTTGACACATTCGGATGTAAATATTTTGTAATTACATCGTAAATATACGTATAAATGGATATATTTTATTTTTCTACAACACTTCAGGGTTCTAAGTATATGAAAACAACATGTTTTTAAACAACATTTCATTTTGAACAGAATTAAATGCTATAATTTTCACAGGACAGTTTTCTCAAAATGGTTTAATTTGAATGAAATATTTTCACAAGTTTTCGTTAATTACATTAGGAAAAAAATTAAGGTAATTCGATTTTATTCGGTTAAGGTACAAAAATTAAGATCAAAGTTTATTGTATTATTAATATTAAATTATGCATTATTCTTTTCTATTTATAGAGCTTCTTCCTAAAATACTTTCTTAAATATGACATGATTTTTTGGCTTCTGAGGCATCTTTTAAATCGAAAAATGTAAGTCAATTTATAATTAATGCTCTATTCAGTTCATTTAAAATTAGAGAATCATTAGGAATTAGCGAAATACTTTAAATAGTACTTGACATTCTCTGAACATTTCTGAAAGGGAATAAAATATTTTTTTTTTTTTTTTTTTTTTTTTTTTTTAGTATTATTTAAAACTTGTAACTGAATTATTATAAAATGTAAGGGGAATAATTCTTTTAATTATACTTATCAGATTTTTTTTACCCTTCATTTCAACAATACATATTCCAAAACTCTTTATTACGTTCTTAAGTGCGCATCTCATAGCATTTGCTTTACAATATCTTTTAACAGACTGCTTTCCAATACGAACAATTCTTGCTTAAATAGTTTTATAACGTATTTGTCAACAAGATTTCAATTTATGTTTACAATTCAATATTAAGGTTATTATATATTTAGATAACATTTATAATCATTATAAATTAGATACATTTAATAATTAGATTTCTTCACAGTACTTTCACACTTGTTTATAAGTGAATAAATTCTTCATTTCAAATACATTTATAAATAATTTAATGAAAATTTATGTATTTTGGCAAAGGCAGATACATGCTTTTTGCAATAATATGCAACAATAATATATGGATGTGAAAAAAAATTGTTTTATTTAAAACATTTTGGCGTTTGGAAAATAAAATAAAAGCAGCGAATACTCTATCAAAGGTATCGAAAAACGTATACAATTTTAAATGTACCGTATGGTATTTTTCATTCTTTAAGCATAACATTTTTCTTAAAATGTATATTTTTGTAGTTCAACAGCTTAGAATTTTATAAAACAAATTCATAATCAAAACCGCGCTGTTGTTAGTTATCGAAAAATAACCAAAATGTGATTTTTGCGTAAATGTCACTAAACTATACAAATTGCTATTATCTATCACACTATGAATGTTTCTTTCATGCGAGAGTGTCCCTTTTTCGATTTGTATGGAACTGTTGTGTGTCGAAATACTATCAGAACCGTGTTAAGCGAGCTTCTGAATGTAAACAAAGAACACCCCATCTGGTGACCCAAGCTTCAAAGTAGTGCTTCACTTCTAGTGCCGACTGGCCCCTCCTTCCTTTCCTACCTCCATGGTTGGAACATGGAAACATGGGAAGAAGGAGGGGTGCAGGTGCAGCCAGTGTGATGTCAGCATGCGTGGATCGCCGCATCCGCCGACAAGCTGTGGCGGTCCCGCAAGTCACTTGTACCGCGATTCTGCAGCATGTGCAAGATACCCTGGATATTCACGTGTCGACCAGAACCATTGGCGTGCACTCACGGCGTCCGTTAAGAAGACTGCCTTTGACCCCACAGCGTAGACGCCAACGTTTAAAATGGTGCCGGACTGAAGCGATGTGGATGACAGAATGGCGAAACGTCGTGTTCTCAGATAAATCACGCTTCTGTTTATCCAGCGGCAGTCGCCGCGTATGTGTGTGGCGTCGACATGAAGACAGATCTAATCTGGCAGTAACTGTGGAATGCCCCACCACGCGACAACGTGGCATAATGGTTTGGGGCGCTATTGCCTACGATTCCAGTCACCTCTAGTTCGTATTCAGGGCATTATGATGGCCCAACGATACTTGGATAATGTACTACAGCCAGTGGCAATCCCCTACCTTCAGGGGCTGCCTAATGCAATTTTCAGCAGGATAACGCCCGACCACACTGTGCTCGCATCTACCAACATGCTCTGCAAGGTACACAGATGCTTCCCTGGCCACCGTACTCTCCTGACCTGACACCAATCGAACATGTGTGGGATGTAATTACATAGTTAATTAAGAAACATCATTAATATATTAATCTTTTTTATAAAATTTTACTGATAATTTTTCATGAAATTACAGTCTAAAAATGTTCAGAAAAAGGAAGATAAATAACTGCATCAAGTTAATTAACCATGCAAATTTAAAATTCTATTAAGTGTTATAAGTTTCATCAATTTTCTACTCATTTTCAATTTTTAAATGCTCAAGTTTTCTTCTTACGTTTTCAGCAAAAATCTATTAGTTCATTCAGATATATGATATATAGAAGTAAAAATATCCCTCCCTACATCTTATGCTCCCAAATCATTATGCGAATATGCAATTACAATTTTTAAAACCTGAAAACTCACGTGTGTGATGTTATCCTCATGCGATGATTTCTAGGTACTTCATTTTTTACAACGATTTTTTTCGACGACGCTGTTTTTAAACTGCGAAGTTTCTGAACCGCGACGTTTCCTCTTTGCCTTCTTTTCTCCCATGATGTTTTGTACCACGACGTTTTGGTCCGCGATGTTTTTGGCAGACACCTTAATTACACGACATTCTAGAACTTTCTTAACTAGCTGCCTTTTGATACACTTTTATTTAGTTCATGCTTGGTATTTGCAGCTATGATCAAAAGTTTGCTATCGATTTTTAAACTACTTCCTGATATCAGGTTAATGTTTAAACAATTTTTCGTACATAACTTCGTTTAATGGGCAAACTAAAACTCTCAGAATTTTACTGTTTGCATCATCTGATAAAGAAAAAAAAATTTTTTAACAGAAATTTGAATACAATTTCTAACTTAGTTTCTAATTTTTGGCAAATTTTCGAAATTTTCTGGAATTTTTTTAGACTATCCGGCCTGTATTATTTTAAAACTTCGAAGAACAAGAATGATAAAAATAAATTAATTGAGAGATTTTGTAAAATTTTTTAAATATTTGTAGCAGATTGAAGCGGAAAGGGAAAAAATATCTATTCTTCTCGGCCATTGCTTGGAAATATACTTTCAAGGATATGAAGTCATTGCATCACACGATTCGTTTTGCTTCTGTACAGATTTATTTGCATTTACTATTCATTTAATTTTATTAATCTCAAAAATGTCCTAATTTAACAACTGATTAGCGTTTACAAGTAGTTACAATGAAATCTACCGTCGTTTTCATTTTTTTCCATTTCATAAGTCTATATATTTTTTTCTCAGTATTAAATTTTAAAAGCTGACTTTTTTTGTCAGAGGCAATATCATATTCTTTTATTTGACTTTAAAATTCTAACATCCTAAAATATATAAAGATATGAAATATATTACAATAATATAAAGATATAAAATTTTCAAACATTATAAAACACACTCTTCATCCCCTCTTAAAACAAGACTGATAAAAAAATATTAATTAAATGCTTTTTAGAACTTTTTAGACTAGCCGTGTCTTTTGTAAATTCTTTTTTGACTCTTTCATGGTAATGTCACTATGGCAAAAATTTTGCCATCATAATTATACATATATATTTTAAAGGATGATAAGAATATTAACCATGATATTTATGCTATTAGATAAATTAATAAAGAAAGAAGGGAAATGCAATAAAAATGTTAATAAAATTGCCATGCCTGCCATGTTTCTTGAAAAGTTTTAGAAACCCCAGGGAAGAGTCCTTTATCACCTGCATCACGAGAAAGTAGGAGCAGCTGAAAAGAAATATATATATATATATATATATTTTATATTAGAAATTTTAGTAAGCTTGCCTAAAAGTTACCAGGAGCTGTGGCTCCAAAAAGTTCAACACATTTTAAAAAACAATGTCATTGAAGGGTGAGAAATTATGCTACACGAGAAAAGAAAATATACACAGTAAAATACTTAGCGTTGGAAACTAGTAATGACAAAAAATACAGTAAAATACCTATGGATGTGACACTTGAAAAATTAAAACATATGAAAATCAAACCAAGGAACAAGTTAAAACATAAAACAAACAAAATCAGATAAAAATAGAAAGCGGAAAATGGTAAATTAGCTGAATTCGACTTCCAATCTGGCTTTTCAAGGGAAATATCTGATTGAACGTCGAATCAAGCCAACTCCATTACGCGTTTCGCCGAAACAGACAATTGAAACTTTTCCGCTACAAAATTTTTTAATTAGACAAAGTGTCTTGGAAAATTTATTAGTCTCAATTCTCTGTTCCATTTTCCCAACGCGTCCGCACAAAATGACACATTAAGGTGTTAAAATATGTAAAAAATATTCTGATTACATCTAAAATCAAGACAAAAATAAAAATAAAAATAAATAGCGGTCTGCTATTAGTCCAAATATACAATAACATAGGGGCTGGGCCTGCAAGCTTAAATATTTATATCTTTATAAAATTTAGAAATCTGTAATTAAATTTAAATGAAAACGAACACAGTGGGTCTTGCTAAGACCAAGAAAAAAGTTGTAGTAAAAGAAACAGAAAAAACTGACCTGTGTCGATGCAGAGCTCTCCCTCTTAAAACTAAGTTGAAAAGGGGTTGTAATTCCCTTCTGTGAACTTCAGCGTCATCCCACTCGTCTTGTGACGTAAGTAGGGGGGAGCGATGTCTTTTGGGCATCAGCCAATACGAAAAGACTGTCCGTTAGCTGTAACTCGTCTCTAATTTTCGAAGGGGGTCGGAAAGCTCGGAAAAAAACGTGTGTAAAGATTTCAAAATGGCGTCAGTCAAGTTGTTGGAAGAAAAAATTGTTACTGAAAGTGAAAATGGCTAATTCAGCTAAAACTACTAAACTTGGTCATTAAAGTATTTTATGTTACCTGTTGAACGTGCAATAAATACTACTACTGGACAATTAAAAAAAAAAAAAAAAAACATGGAAACTGAGATTAAAAGTAACATAAATTAAATATGAACTTAAATTAGGCAAGACTGTATTGTAGACTAATTTTTTAAAAGAAAATTCTTATGCATTTCAAAACAGACTGGCATAAGGTCTTACTTTTCAAGAAGGGAAAATAAATACTCTGTAAATATTTTTTATCTTTTAAAGAAAATTTTGCATTTTACAGGCAAATTTCTACACAATTTTTGGATTTAAAAGCTTTTCTATTTTTTCCTTCAGGAATTTCTTTCCAGCTTCTTTTCAGAAAAGAAAATTTTTATTTTATTAAGTAGCAAAAATATTCAGTGAATTTTCAAAATATTTTTGCTCTTGAATAAAAAAGGTTTGTAACATTTTCCCTCAAAAAGCACAGTTTTTTGTAACGCCTGTTATTCATAGTATTGCCTATGATAAACAAAAGCAATACTTAATTACTAAATATTAATATTTAATAAATTATACAAATCATTACCAGCCATGACACATAAGCATTCAACCACATAGCACATGACATACAGACAGACATCTACATAGATACAATTACAATCCAGCTGTATTTGCAATAAAATTCCAGTTATAACAGTTAATTCCTTCTTGAAGATATTTTAGTTACAAATATAATCTTCATTATTAAAGAATGAAGAATCTATATGTATGTAGTCCCTTGCATTGTGGAAAAATAGAGACACCTAAAGCAACCAAATTTTGAACACACATAATCCTCCATCTAAACAAGCGCACCTCAAAGCGATTATTTATTTCTTTTTCCTTTTTATTTGTTTCATATTCTGTGCAAAATTAAGACAATTTTGTTTAACAAATTTGGCGATTTCAAAAAACTGTGTTGTGCTAGGCTAATCATAAGATATTTATGTTTTAAATTTAATCAGAAACTTCAGCGGTTGAAAAGAAATGCATTGCTATATTACGGAAAGCATAATATAACTGTTTTTCAAAATTTAATAGACAATATTTAAAAGAAATGTGTTTCTGCTGCGCAAAATAAGATATTTTTCCTTCCTAGTGTGATGGTTTTTGGCATAGTGTAAAATATTTTACTTTTCTTTTAAATTTAATCTGTCTGTTGCTGATTAACAAACTAATCAATTTAAATGCAATAAACATTGTTCTTCATCTCTAACATTATCAATTACAAGCTACACCTAAGACATTAAACTCATTAAAATCCTTATATATTTTTTTATAACTATTTTAGGCAGCTGGACGATCAAGCAGCCAGTCATCTAAATATTGGGGGTCTATGTACATGATGCCCAGGCTTTGTTTGATTTCTGGACAACTGAGATGAGCTCATTGAGCTACCTGCATGAGTACTAACAGTGGAAGAATTGTGAGCATTTGCAGCAAGCTCAGATTTCTGTTTCTCAGGCATGTCAAAATCCAAACTTGCTTAAATTCAAAGGGAATACTGGAGGCCTGGAGGGCCACAAATGAACTCTGTTTCTGACAAAAGTGTCCCTCAGTTGTTCGTAATAATATTGCAGAGACATTAGGTATTTTTGGAAGCAGGGAAGATGAAAAATGAGCAAACGCCTTCGCCGGGAATCGAACCACGGACCTCTGGAATACCGACGCAGCGTGCAGAACCACTACACCACGAAGGCATGCTAGGAAGGCGGGAGAAATACCTTATATACTCCCCCTTTTAAAGGGCGACTGGGATTTTTAGGGGACCCAATCACCAAAGCAAAAAAGCAACAATATATAAGACTCCATTGTTTAATAATTCTTCAGTAGCCATATTTAAAACTTCATATTCAGAACACAGTGGCAGTTTTTTTTTGGGGGGGGGATAGGGATAATCAGATAATTAACCAAAAATTTAGACATACATAATAGTAAAGTAACCTGTACAAAAAAAGAAAGTAAAAAATAAGAGAAAAGTAATAGTAGTAGTAGTAGTAATAGTAATCATAACCAGAAGAAATGCTTTTAGGTCTGTCAGTGAAATTTATTAATGACTTATTTACCTTGCTCAGTGGTGTATTTGGATTTGGAGAATTCGTATTAACTGAATCCTTACAGTGAATCTTCCAAGTAGCAACAGACATAAAAGTTTTATCAGCAGCATAACATCTCCATAAACACTGAAAAAAAAATTTTTTTACAATGCAAATTACCATAGCAAAAGTAATTTAATTTTTCTGCTCTATATATACAGTAGAAATGAAAATCTTATTAGACTATGTATCTAACATATAAAAAAATCAACAACCTATAATACTCTGCTCTGTGATCATAATAAAAATTAATAAATTATTGTACGCTTCATCTAGAACATCAAGGAATCAACAATCTGTAGCACAATTAGAAAATACATTTCAGATAGGAGCATACGCCCCAATTTTCCGCATTTGATAATAGGCAAAAACCTGTCAAATGGTTAATTTCAAGTAAATCTAACCAAAAAAAAAGTAACTTAGAAAATCAAATTTTGATTTAAATCATGTAAAATCTCTAGTATCCATCTTTGCAAGCAACTTACGTAAACAATAGACTTCAAAACAGTGTGGATAATCAACCTACACAAAGATGGATTATTTGCTAAATATACCAGTTAAACAACTGAAAAAAAAATTATCAAGTACCTTAGCCTAGTCATACCATATATACTCACATATTTCTACCCCTAGTTTTCTCAATATATGATTTAAAAACGTTTAATATATGGCAACAATGCAAAATGTTTGCATCAAAGGAAGAATATTTTGTGTGAGTAAAAAGAATATTTTTGAAATTTGTGTTTTTTGAAACACATAATATAATTACATTAATTTGTCTTGTCTGCTTTTTAATGTGCTATATTTATCATTTAAGCCTTCACTTCAGAAATAGCATACACCAAGTATTTTCCCCCTCCCTGTTTTCAAGTGATAAGTTCAAGCGGAAATGAAACAAAAATACATAAATGAATCTGTAATATTCAAAAGTGGCTAACAGAACTACTGAGCACAATCATCTTGTTGGATAACAAGCCCTCCCTACACTTACAGCCATCCTGTTGACTGTTAAATCAGCAGTCATATCTGCCATTCCTCTGTAGAGTCATTAGGTTATTTTGAAGCAGGAGGTGTGAAAAATTTGCAGTACTCTCACCGGGCCTCGGGCCTGGATCTATCGAATACGTGCCGAGTGTGCTACCGTTACACCAGCAAGGCATGCAGAAAGAAGGGAGAAAATATATTATATACTTCTCCTTTTAAAGAGCGACTGGGAATTAGGGAACCCAATCGCCAAATCTTGGGTTTGGAGAATCATCATTCACCACCCATTTAGTTCGGGCGCTATAGTAGTGTTATTAAGTTATCCTAAACCAGGAGATGTGAAAAATGTGCAGTACTTTCGCCGGGACTCGAACCTGAACCTCTCGAATACACGCCGAGTGTGCTACCATTATACCACTAAGGGATGCAGAAAGGATGGAGAAAATACCTTATATCCTTCCCCATCATCTAGCAAATGATTTCTTGTCACCTTGCAGAATTAGAGTTGCAAGCATCTTGTCCACTTGGCTACTTCCCGCCAGGACCAGAGCTTAGGTTGATGCATGTTACAAGAAAATGATCACATTTGTGGTTCTTTGTTCAAAATTAGAATACCTCGTAGAAAGTTTTCTTGAGATATCAAAAGCTTTGTATTAATATTGTCATATTTTTTTTTATTTGCAGGAAAAAAAAGAGTCAGTTCACAAGACATCAAATGCATACAGTTTTGATTACAATTCCATTGTGATTTTTTCATACCGAAGAGAAATATTTGAAAGTCATCCTTCCAGTTCCAAAACTCTTTACAAAACTTTTACATATGTATACCCCTTTATTTTAGTCATACTCTATGTTAAAGAGTGCGCTAGAACAGATATTCATTGTGAGCTCTCTTACCACTACCTTTTATGAGGAAATCGAAGCCATTCAACAACTGTCGATTCATAGTTACTCTGTTGTAAAGGCTGTCATATAGATTCTAAAAGTGCACTTGAAAATAGTTCCCAAAGAACCCTAGACTGGAGGCCTTTGCTTAAGGCAATGGCACACAGAATTTCTTTCCAATGGCTTCCAGCCCACAGTGCTATTATGGGCCAAATTATTTTGAGATAACTGTAGATCTTTAATTGTAGTCAAAGCTTGTTCTTAAAATAATTAAAAAGTGAATAAAGTTTTATTTTATAAATGCTCTAACAAAAAATGGCTAATATTTTTTTACTAAAATACGGTTTCCTTTGAATTCTGCAATAGTCACTGTTTGTGATTTCAATATAGGCTTTTTAAAAGCAATTAGTTGCACTCTTAAATTCAGCCATAAAATCTGTAATTTTATTTTTAATCAAGTCACTATTTTGTGGGTAATCCGTTTGATATTTGTTACGTAAAGTTAAGAAAATACCTCTCCACATTACCCTTTTTAGTAATGGCTATGAAAGCACAGCAGATTCAGCAACAACATTTATTGCAAAAAGTAATCAAGTACCCATTTTTCATGAAAATCATAAGTGTTCGACTTTTTCGATTAACTTTTCATCAAGGCCGGCGCTAAGCATTTTGCCGCCCGGTGCAATCTTTGTTGGACCTCAATTTCTTGGGCAATCTTTGTTGGCCCAGCACTTCTCTAAATTCTAAAAATTTTTCCGCCCTGAATTCTGCTGCCCAATGCCTTCTTGAAGTAGAAAAAATTTAGCCATCCCTAAACTTTGCTGCAGATTACTTCTCTAAATTCTAAAAATTTTCCTGTCACTAAATCCTGCCACCTATAACAAGTATCAAACGGATCGTACAGACTGATATTTGTTACGGACAGATTGATTTTGCACCAGGTGCACCAGCTCTAGCACCGACCCTGCTTCTGATTTTAATGGTCATTAAAATGCACTAGAAGTTTACAAATAGCTATTTTTAATTTAAAAGTATAGAGAGATGGTATTTTTGCACAGCAGTCATGCTAAGAAAAATTGACACTTTTTTTAAAATGCTTTACCACAATGATGAATACTAAATACTAAACAAAGAACACAGGAATGTCAACTTATGCATTGTTACACGAAGGATTAAAAGGGAACGTACTGAGAAATTTGCACAGCTTGAGCAAGCATGGTAAGCAATATATTGCACACATATGCATATTTCACCATTGTGACAGAAAATGAGACTTTTCAGTACAGCATAGAAAAAGCATAAACTTACGAAATTAACTTGCAGCTCAAAAAATATATATAACTAGCAAAATCATCATTTATGTACTTAATAGTATAAACAAATTAATTCATTTGATTACCTGAATCAATGTTGCTGCTGCAGGAATCTGTCGATTAAAATGTTTTTGACGTTGCTTTTGTTGAACTTTTAGTGCAAAACCAGAACCAAGTATGCCCTTTTTAAAGAAAGAATTAAAAATTTTTAGAAAAGTATGAAAAACAATGAAAACTTGAAATCTTAATTAAACATTATTATAAATTTAATGTAAAAACTTCAACTATGAAATGAAGGGAAAAGAAAAGCAACTTTTGTGATCCTTAGTTGACAAAGTATGTGTCAATAAAATATCAACATAGTCCACAATTAAAAGTTATTCAATAAATATGACAAATTTGCTTTTATTTGTAGCCTTCAAAATATGCATGAGCTATTTACGTATGAACGGAACAACACTCTTTTCCCTTTGTTTTCAGAAATGAAGTTCGTACACTTGTACGTAAAATTAAATTGGTACAAACTTGATGACTAAAACTTTTAAGTAAACAAATGTGTATGTAATTTGAAGCTACCAAAAATGAAAATACCGACCAGAACACTCCACTGACCACACAATTACCTATTAAAAATTTTGTAAAAGCAAATTGTTGAGAATAATCACACGCACTCCCCGTTCTTGTTTTAATGTCCTGTATTTTAACCGTAACTGTTTTATACTTTTGCTTAGGTTGATCTGGGAACAGTTGTAGTTGTTTCCTGGTGTGATATGTAGAAACGTGCTGTGCCATGTGCGTGAAATTCCATCTTTTAATAAAGCCTCTACTTAATTATCATCGGCCTCTGATTCACCTTTTTTTAAATCTTTACAGCAGAGCGTGGTTCTGATATTGAACACGCTAGAGGCGAAGCATTTATATTTGTTTTATGGAACTTATTTGTTTGGAACGGAATCATGCGTTAAGTGAAATTTGAAATGGCAGCACGTGAGAGAACACACAATGATTGATGAGAACACAAAGTATTGTGTTGAGCCGTTTAACGGTAAAAACTTTTCTCTGTTTAAGCGCCGTGTTGAAGCTGTGTTTGCAGCCAAAGAACTTGATAAATATTTAGACGTTGAAGCGGATGAAACGAAAGTTGCTGAAATCAAAGATGCAAAAAAGGCTTACGCATTGCTGCTAACCCTTCTAGATGATGCCATATTGGCGACCATGTCGAGTGAATCTTCTGCATGTGAAATTTGGAGCAGTTTTTAAAGAATAAATACCATAAGGTGAGTGCAGTTAGTCAAATATTAGTACGAAAGAAATTATCGACACTGAAGAAACGCCGAGATTGCAGTATGCAGTCACATATTAACGAACTGTTGGCGATCGTAAATGAAATGCGACTCTCGGGTGCTGAAATCAAAGATATGGATGTGATTATTTATTTGTTGGTGTCTCTACCTGCTGTTTACGACATTATTAAATCGACGATTGAGAACCAGCCAAATGAAATGCTTACGCTGGACTTTGTTATGCAAAGGCTCTTGAATGCTGAAGAATTGCAAGGTGAGAGAAATTCTTACGATTCTTGTATTTCTGGCTCAAGTAATAACGTAGCTTTTAGCGCTGATAAGCGTGATATCATCTGCCACAAATGTAAAAGTAAAGGTCATATTGCCAGGCTTTGCAAGAAAAAATTAGTTTGTTTTGGATGTGGACGCCCAGGGCATTACAGGAAGGATTCCAGATTTAAGCATAAATGAGATTATAGAGAATTGGCTGCAGTAACATTCATGGTTGGCGAGCCTGTTGGAAATTTCATTCTGGATTCTGGAGCATCTACACACATGTGTAATAAAGGTGAGTGGTTTGAAGAAATTAAACCTTTTTCTGGAACTGTTGCATGTGCTTCGAAAAATGATGTTTTAAAGGTAGAAGGTATTGGTACAGTACCTGGAACATTAAATGGAAGAGAAATATTACTTAAAGATGTGTTATATGTGCCTGAGTTGAACGGTCAATTAATATCTGTGAAGAATATTCAAAAAGCAGGTTACAGTGTAATTTTTAAGAATGATGTAGCTGTTATTGAAAAGAGGAATGAAAAATTTGAGTTTGCTAAACTCAATGAGAAAGGACAGTATGTGAGTCAATTTGAACCTGTTAAAGCTTCAACATACATTGCAAATCATAGTGCAGAATTATGGCACAGGCGCATGGGGCACTCATCTGATAAAATATTAAAAGAAATGGGTTTGCCAGTATCTGAGTCACCTTCAAGCTTTTGTGAAGAGTGCATATTAGCAAAACATTCCAACACTCCTATGAACAAAGGTCCTAGAAGCAGAGAGCATGTGCCGATGAGAATGGTACACACTGACATATGTGGTCCCATTGATCCACCCACTAGGGAAGGTGAAAAGTATTTTGCTACAATCATAGACGATTTTTCTAGATTTACTGAAGTGCATCTCTTAAAGCACAAAAGAGTGACATAAATGAAGTGTTTAAATTGTTCCTAAAGCAGAATCCTGATGTCTACAAAATTCGGTGTGATAATGCCAAGGAATACGTGTCTGGTGAACTAGCTCGTTATTGCAAGAAAAATGGTGTTATGATAGATCCTGCTCCTCCATATTCACCTCCTTTAAATGGTGTGGCTGAGAGAGCCAACAGATATCTTTTAGAGAAGGCCCGAGCTCTAATATGTGAAGCAAAGCTTTCTAAATCCTTCTGGGGCTTATGCTGTACAGACAGCTGCATATCTTAAGAATAGAATTCCAAATCAGACTGTTGAAAATGTACCTTATAAGCTCAAATATGGGAAGCCGCCTGATTTGAATATTATTAAGGTGTTTGGATCTGATGCATACATGAGAGTTCCTGATAACTTAAGAAAGAAATTGGATCCAAAATCAAAAAAGATGATTTTTATTGGATACTCTACCATGGGTTATCGTTTACTGGACCCAGTCACAAATCATGTTGTGGTTTCTCGAAATGTATTGTTCAATGAAGAGAAAAAAAAAAAAGAAATGTATCTCAGTTCAAGATGATTTTTCCATAGAAAGTAAAGATCCTGCTAAAGATGAAGTAGTATATGATTCAAGTGATGTAGAATCCAGAAATCTTGAAGAAAGTCATGAAGAAATTACTAGGCAAAGAAGAAATATAAAATTACCTGTAAAGTTGAATGATTACTTTGTGTATGAAGCTAATGTGGCAACTCTTGATACAGTAACATATGAGGATATAACATCATTGCCAAAAGAAGAGCAAGTCCTATGGAGGAAAGCCATGGATGAGGAAATAGCTTCTCTTAATAAAAATAAAGTGTGGGAAGTTAGTCAACTTGCCAAAGGATGAAAAGCCAATATCCTGTAAATGGGTGTTGCGCATCAAACGAAACAATGTTTACAAAGCTAGATTGGTTGCTCGTGGCTTTGAACAGAAGCCAGGCATTGATTACTTTGAGACCTATGCTCCTGTAATTAGTACATCATCACTTCGACTTGTGCTGGCTATCATTGTTCAAAAGAATCTTGAAATCTATGCATTAGATGTAAAGACTGCATTTCTGAATGGTGATCTCCAAGAAACAATCTACATGGAACAACCAATGGGCTACAGTGACAACAGTGGTCGTGTGTGCAAGCTTCTTAAGAGTCTTTATGGACTTAAGCAAGCACCGAGGCAGTGGTTCAAGAGATTTACTGATTTTATAATTCTGTTAAACTTCCAACAACTTAAACTGTGAAGCATGTACTTTTGTAAGAAGAACTAAACAGAGTGAAATATTTATTGTGCTGTATGTGGATGACTTGCTAATTGCTGGTTCTAATGATTCAGAGGTAAAAATTGTGATTGAATTACTTAGAAATGAATTTGAGATGTCCAAGGCTGAAGTTGCAAATGAATTTCTTGGAATAAGTTTTGAATATTCACAGAACAAACTTACTTTAGGCCAAAAATCTTATGTTGAAAAATTGTTAAATAGATTTAGAATGTTAGATTGTAAGCCATCTGATACTCCTCTAGTGCCTAAGTCAACTTCATCAAATTTTGTGAATGGTGAAAGATTTCATGGCCCTTATCGTGAACTTGTAGGTGCTTTGCTGTATCTGTCTATGACAACTCGTCCTGATATTCTGTTTTCTGTGAACTGTCTGAGTCAGATACAAGAACAACCCACTAACAGTGCTTGGGCTGGTCTGAAGCAAATTCTTCGATATTTAAAAGAGACATCTGACTTGAAATTATTATTTTGTAAATCTAATAGTGTTGATATTATGTTAAATGTTTATGTTGATGCTGATTGGGGGTCAGATACAAATGATAGAAAATCTATTTCAGGGTATATTATTTTCTTTAATGATTGTCCTGTAACTTGGTCTGTTAAAAAAAAAAGCAAACATCTATTGCTCTGTCCTCTACTGAGGCAGAAATTTTGGCTTTAGCAAAAGCTATTCAAGACCTAACTGTATTTTATAATGTATCTAAAGAAATTTTAGGAGTCGACAATATTAAAGTTTCAGTTTATGAGGATAATCAGTCTGTAACTAAAGCAATATTGAATGAAAGTAATTGTGCTAGACTAAAACATTTGGACATTAAATTAAAGTATATTAGGGATATTGTAAAATTGTATGATATAAATCTTGTATATGTTTCTAGTGAAAATCAGTTAGCTGATTTGTTTACAAAATGCTTGCCTAAACCAAGATTATGTTATTTAAGAGATAAATGTAAAATAATATGTGATTAAGGGAGGGTGTTGAGAATAATCACACGTACTCCCCGTTCTTGTTTTAATGTCATGTATTTTAACCATAACTGTTTTATACTTTTGCTTAGGTTGATCTGGCAACAGTTGTAGTTGTTTCCTGGTGTGATATGTAGAAACGTGCTGTGCTATGTGCGTGAAATTCCATCTTTTAATAAAGCCTCTACTTAATTATCATCGGCCTCTGATTCACCTTTTTTTAAATCTTTACACAAATGAAAAAAAATCCTGAAGTATTTGGGCATATATCATGAGTTTCAGGATGCATGAACTAATAAAGATTTTGATATTGCTCAATATGTTTAAAAGACATCTTTATTGCAAATATCAGTGATTGGAAATGTTTACTAGATAAGAAGCTGAAGGTGATACATTTAAACATCTTCCCAGACTTCAATATTCCAAAAAGCATTATCTCAACGATATTGAGATAATTTCTTAGCAGTAGAAATACTAGGCATTGTGAAGATCAGTTGCAGGCAAGGGTTACTGACACATTAAAACTGCTTTCTGTATTTATTGTACAAATATGATCATCATGTAACTTAAGAGCAATTCATATGTGACTTTACAGGAAAAACTGATATAAGAATATGTAGAGCTACTGCTCACAAAAGCTGCAGAAACGTGTTTCTTACATAAGGCAATCAATATACTGTACCCCTTTTCTAGTTGAAGAGCTAGTATGACTTGCATATCAATGAAACTCAATGACTAGGTACGATTCTCTTCATAGTTTAAGTCCAGATTCAATATAAATGCCAATCATCAATGATTTTAACATGAACAGAAAGTGGAAAATGACTAGGTGTATGTATTGAGAATACGGCAAAGCACACTAGGGCTATCAGCCTAAGGTGAGGGAAACTGGCTCGTATACACGTTACACATGGGGAAAACCACGAAAACGCCCATGCAGCCAGCCCGTTCATGGAATTCGAACCTCTGGAAAATGACTAGGATATATTCAGAAGTTGCTGAAACAGAAATCATGTTTTAAAAACTGTACACATTTCTCACAAATGCTTTATTTAATTATTTCAGAAACAAAGAAGAACTTACTGCTGGCAAAGCAAAAAATGAAATGGCAAACACAGAAAAGCATGAGGCAACTATTTTCCCCATCCAGGTTTTTGGAACTGTATCACCATATCCAATAGTTGTCACAGTTATCTAAAAACACAACATTAATTAATAAAATATATAGCATGAAGTGTGGACAAAAAAGTAACATTACAAAATTTTAAACAGTACTGAAATTCAGTACTGTTTAACAAATATAAAAATAGTTTTGCATTAATGAGAACTGAGATATCATTGAAAACACCTTAAACTGGTGCAATCAGAGATCAACACATTCCCTCTATATACATGTCCACAAAAGTCCCTACCTATATTATTTATTAGTTAGGCTGTTATTTTTGCAACTGCTTGTTGTAGACATACACTTCCAATTACAAAAATGTTTTAAATGACAAAAATATTTATGCTTTGGCATTTTAAAATTTAAAAAAAAATCAATTTCATAAAAATTAAATCTTTTTATGCTTGTTATAATTAATTACTCGTTATAAAATATGAAGTACAAAAGGTTTAACCTCCATGTGACAAAAATTGACCAAGATATTAATTTTAATTTTTCTGATTTTTAAGGATTTTACAGCAACAGAAAATGGAACTTATTGTCCTCCTTGAGTGATCAGTTAAAAAATAAATTAGGATAAACCAGTTTCTAATTGGATGAACAGAGGGTGTTTAGAAATTTTTAGAACGATTTTGATAAAGAATTAAAAAATAATTTTTTTTTGGAATACAAATTTCTGGTAACAGCTTATTAAATGAAATGAGAAATACCGTCTTCTACTTTTAAATTAAATCTTCTTTCAAAATGCCGCATGTAAACAAGCTGTGAATTGAACGATATGTTTTTGCGCTTTCCAAACAGAAATTTTCCTATTCCGTAATTCAAAAACGTTGTGAAATACATGGTATTAAAATTTTTAGGTGTAAAGTAAACAACATTATTAATCGGAAAGAGAAAAACTGTCAGTCATTGCTTTCTCATGACCAGAATAAACTAAGTGAATGCCCGAAAAAGGTACGTACTGTTTGTTTCTAATTTTTTTAAGGTTAAATTTTTGGCAACAAGAGATAATACACCGACGAAAAATCAATTGCGGACATGAATTTAAATACATCCGTAGAAACAATAAATAAAATACTAAAGCAATATTTACAACTTATAAAAATTAAAAAACGTAATGTTCACCAGCTTTTGCCCAAGCATAAACAATTTGGCTCAGGGCTAAATAATTTATCGAATCCTGTATGATAACTATTTAGTAAGATGTCTGCGTCTGAAGGTCTGCTAAGCGAGCTCTTTTCTCCTTCGCTATCTTTGCCTAGCAACGAAACTTGTAATGCGCATAAGCCAAGGAGGTTAGAATACATGGAGATGCCCTGCGCGCAGTCCAAGTGAAGCCAAAAAGTGGGGGAAAGCATGCCCTTAGTAGTCGTGGCTTTAGAAAGATTGACGAGCTCTTCAGCCAATGAGGCAGAACCTAGCCACACCCAGTTTCGTAAATTAAAGACCGTGGATTCTTCGCGCGCTTTTTCCTTCACTTTTTCCCGCCATTTCATTTTATTTCTACATTTTCTATCATCTTGTAGACGGCTGCAATATTGTTCCGAGAAGCAATTTTTATTCCTGCCAAAATGGTAAATTCCTGCGTCGCTTTCGGCTGTACAAAATAGAAGAATAGCAGGATCCGGTATTACATTTCACAGGTAAATATTCTTTTAACATATATACTATCATTTATTTAAGTATACTTTGCTCAAAGTTAGATAAAAAATTTGCTGTGCATGTTTAAAACATATCCAAGGAAACGGCTGCAAGTGCTGATAATTGTATCAATTCTAATGATTATCAGGATATGCAGAGGGAAAATATATGTACAAAGGGACTGATTCCATTAAAATGAGTTAAATGAGAAATGCATTATGTAATTACATGCTGTCATTAATGAATGCTAGCAATAAAGGTATTGTGAAAATAAATAAATAAATACTCAAACCATTAATTGATTATATTTTAGTTATTCTAAATATATACAGGTATAATTCTCAATTTTCCATGTTAGAAAATACTACTTACGTTTTGAAAAATATTTAAATTGCATGAACAATGATAAAAAATAATATTTAAATCCTGCATTGTTATTTTTAAAACTCCCACAAATTTCACCCCAAATTAAATCCTGTTATTAAATATTTACTTGAACAGAAAATAAAATTAAATACATAAAATATGACTTGTAATATAATATGATCACACCTTTAAAATAACGCGTTTTCTTTTCCACGATGAGCTGACCACTCCCCCTTCCCTTGTTTACTTACCGTTTTGCTTTTACAACTCAGTTAATTACGAGTATAATACTCAAACCATTAATTGAAGAAAAATCTGAGAATTATAGATGTTTCTTCGCGCACGTCACACCGAGAAAATACTCAAACTCTTTTCTGACGGCTTTTCAAACGCACATTTCAATTATTCTACTTATTTATGCATGTTAAAAAAACATTCTTTTATATGGAAATGAAATCCGAAATGTAGACATTATTTCAATGTAACCATTCAGTACCTTATAACCCTCTCACGTCTTCACATAAGAAATCAGAAAACACACTCAAAACTTCAAACAAGCTGACGTTTAACCTCACTTCACATAGTAAGGGAAGCGTTTTCTTGCCCTCACGAGGCGTGGCTTATTTGCTTCCCCCGGCTTCACTCTCCTCGTATTGCGACAGCAGGGACGCCATCTCCATGTATTCTAACCTCCTTGGCATAAGCAAATATAGTTTTTTCTTGTTCTTAGTGGTTTGAGTATATTTTGTTTTCCATTTTGCTTTGAATGCCTGCCAACTGAATGGTTAGATTATGAATAAATTAAAGATGAATTTCAAAAATAGTTAATTCACGTTATTTCGTAGTTATAGTACAAAATATTGGTCTTCTTTCGGCGGAGCATGTCGGCAATATTTGAACTAAATTTCCTTTTCTTGAGAAACTTGCTCACGTTAGAAAAATGGCGTCATCAGATATTATTGTCTTCATTCAAAAAAAGAGATAATGTGAAAGTACAAATAACACGATTGTGACTAATGATGAACCAAAGGTCGATACTACAGAACTGGAATGTAAGCTGACGATTTTAAAATCATTTCAAATAAATTTGAAGAACTTATAAGGAATTTCTCCCACCTTCTTAAAGTGCCTTTATGGTGTAGTGGTTCTGCACGCTGGGCCGGTATTCCAGAGGTCCGTGGTTCGATCCCCGGCGAAAGCGATTGCTCATTTTTCATCTTGCCTACTTCAAAAAATACCTAATGTCTCAACAAACTTAAAGGTGAATTTTATGGTGTTTTAAAAGGCGAAGATTGCAAAGATCACGAAACCATCTTCTCAGAAATGGAGGTTGACCTCGAAAATGTTGAGGGAGTTCTAAAACGTTTTTAAAGAAAATGGACACTAAGCCCAGTAGCAACTACAGTATTTCTAATGGTAATATCGCATCATATAAAATCAGAAAGGTTACAAATCTGTAAGCAGCATAGCCACCTCTGACAGCTATACAAGTCGAAAGACAGCGTGGCATCGAATCACGTATGTCACCTATGACCCTCTGCGGAAGATCATGCCATAATCTTTGCAACTCAGCAGTTAGTTCACCAATATACCGGAACGGCTGCAGTTACATTCCAAACATGTTCCAAACGTGCTCTATTGACGAGAGGTCTGGTGACCTGGCAGGCCACGGGAGTACAGCATATCCTTGAAGACATTGTTGGAAGAGTCGCACAGTATGTAGACGAAAGTTGTCTTGCTGATAAATAGCACCTGGGCGACTTGACAGCATAGGCAATACAACCGGTGTTAAAATGTCGTTCACGTAACTGCGAACAGTTATAGTGCCTTGAAGGACAAGTAGAGGTGATCGTGTGTCAAAACAAATCGCTCTCCACACTGTAATACCTTGTGTAATCGCCGTATGCCACTCAACAACAAATACCCGGACGGACCGCTGGCCTGGCTGCCTCCACACGCGTGTGCTTTGGTCATCAGCACTGAGGCGGGATCGGAATTCATCGCTGAAGGTCACACGCCTCCAGTCGGTCACATCGCAGCTTGCCCGAGTTCGCCAAAAATCCACTCGACACTGTCTGTGATGTGGGGTGAGTGGTAGACGTCTTAATGGACGTCGGCAGCATATACCAGCATCGGCCAGTCGTCTCCGAATGGTTTCTCTTGATACCACCAGATGCTTGGAAGGTGGAAAATGGCGTTGAATTGATGCTAGCGACGTTGTTGGTGGCCGCTCTTATGATTGCGTGATCCTCGCGCTCATTTGTGTTCCTGGGACACCCTGACCTTCCGCGACGGTAGACTATCCCTTCCGTAATCCATTATCTCCAAAACCGAGCAACTACCATATCCGACCCGACCGAGGGGACGGCCGATACGCATGTTCGACCAACCCGCTTCTTTGAGGCCTACTATACGCCCCTTCTCAGAGTCCAACTGTTCGTAATGCTGCCGGTTACGTCTCAGAGGCATCTCTAGTCACAATACCGTCTAAGTAGACAGATTCGTTTGAATAGCCCTATTGCACGAGCAGTCATGCTTTTAATCTCTCCCAGATGCACATCTCATATGGGCATAGCGCACTTACCTTTGTCTCAATTTAAATTATATGCAAATTTAAATTGGGACAAAGATATGCAAATTTTAATTGCATATCTCTTACCAGACCATATTTCTGCCGAGTTTCGTGATTGTGGCTCGATTTCTTCTCAGTGCATATAATTTTTGTGACAGACTATTTTCCTTTTCGTTTCGCTTTGAATGGATGCTAACTGAGCGATTAGATTAAGGATAAATGAAAGATGAATTTCTAAAATAGTTAGTTTTCGTTATATCGTAATTACAGCCCAAAACACAGACAAATGGGAAAACATCATGACCCTCGGTGAATCATCGATTTACCTAAATGATTGCAATAAAAAAAAGCCTTTTTATTATCGAAAATGAAGGGGGAGAAATGTACAAACCTGGTTCCATCAGTGTAAAGAAAGATTCAGTTATAACTGTCGCAAGATTCTTTTACAGT